TACATTAGCAGTGAATAGCGCTGCCTTATGAAAGGAGTATAGGTCTTTGGACCACTTTTTCTAGCCCTGACAACTGATCTTTCTATTCTGTGTGTATGCGTGTGTGTGTGTGTGTGTGTGTGTGTGTGTGTGTGTGTGTGTGTGTTTGTGGTGGGTGGGAGTAGGGACTTCCAAAGGTGGTTCAAGTTTGAGGGCTTAAAGGGTTCCTGGGGCCCCTGGGGCCTGGGGGTAAGGCCTGGCATGTACCCTGTGGTGGGGAGGCTTCCACAACCTTGGTCTACTTGAAATGGCTTGCAGCTTGACCTTGCCCGAAGCCTTTGGGCTCAAACGTGGCTGAGTAGCAGTAGGGCTTCCCTGTGTGCTCAGGGTGGCCCCTGCTGGTCCCCGTCTTTGACTTCCTAAGGCTTCAGGTCAGTGCCAGTGCACCTCTTTGTCTCACTAGGGCATGGCAGACAACCTGCTCTGGGGTGAGTCACTGCTGCCAGGAAGGACTTATTTTTATCGACTGCCTAGCATAGCTTTGGTTCTTAAAGAATTTAGAATTTTGGATCAGTACCACCAGCTAAATTGTAGGCATTATTTTCTGTTGTGGACTTTAACATATTTGATACTTTTAATGCAATTTAATAATGTAATCATTAAATACTGTTGTCAGATCCTAATAATCTACAGTTTTCTCCTGTACTTTTCCAAGCCTGTTCTAATGGAATTGTTTGCCTTTCCTGATTGTTTTCTAATAGTGGGACACAGCAGGCCAGGAAAGATTTCGAACAATCACCTCCAGTTACTACAGAGGAGCCCATGGCATCATAGTTGTTTATGATGTGACAGATCAGGTAAGGAAGTGTGTTCTCAACAAAGCAGGAAGTTACTTTGTGTGTATGTGTAGCTTTTCGACACAATCTTCCTGTGTAGTTCTGGTGGACCTGGAACTCACTATGTAGACAGGCTGCCCTTGAATTCTTTTGATCAGCCCTGAAACTTCTTTTGATCAGAAATTTATTTTTACCACTAGAGAAAATTAGAACAAATTTTTCTTGTAGCAATTGTTAAATCTCAGCTATCTATGACTTAAAGCCAATTTGGAAGTAACTTAAGACATTTAGATTAAATGCTTTTACAAGCAAAAGATGGGTGAATATGAGCAGGAAAAGAAATTGCTACATTAGTGTGATGTCATTCATATGCCTGTAGTCCGGCTACTTTGGGGGTTTAGGTAGGCTCTCAGAAGCACAGAGGATTGAGACCAGCATAGCAAGACCTCATCTCAAAAACACCCAGAGCAAACAGAACATGTTGATTTTAAACATTACTAGTCTATTACCATAATTTTGTTTGTTTTTTGAGACAGGGTTTCTCTGAGTAGTCCTGGCTGTCCTGGAGCTCTAGAGACAAAGCTGACCTTGAACTCAAATCTCCTTCTGCCCTCCAAGCACTGGGATCAGAGGCAAGCGCTACCATTCCCCACCTACCATGAGGAAAAACAAAACAAAAACCCAAAAGAAAAAAGCCTCACCAAAAGTTATGTCCTAGCTTTCTCCTCCCTACCCTATCTTGTGGTGGGGTTTAAGCTCAGAGCTTGCTTCAGGCCAGGCAAGTTGTTGGTCCCTGAGCTGTGCCCCCAGGCCACCAGTTTCTGATAGTAGTAACACCTACTGCTGTTAACATAAACAGTTTTTGTTATTTTCATTTGTTTGTTTTGAAACAGGGTCTCACTTAAGTAGGTAGGCCTGGCTGATGTGCAGCCTATTGGCTCTATAGACCAGGCTAGCCTGGAACTCAGAGATCCACCTGCCTCTGCCCCCTAGTGCTGGGATTAAAGCTGTATCACTGTATGCAGCTCATAAACCAGAATTTTACTAAATTTCAGAAAATAGGTTTTGTTAATATTTCAAAATTTCAATTTAAAATTGGGTTTGCCTGTCATGAAATATTAAACTATTCCCTTTCCAGATAAGCTATTTTCATTTCAAGCCTTCCAGCCCTCCTAACCGTTTTCTTCCGACGGGCACTGTCGCTGTAATGCATGAGTCCATTGCTTCCCTGCATTAGTTACAGCTAGGGTTGCCACACAAACTGCATCGTCGTTCTTCTCTTTTCAGGAGTCCTTCAATAATGTTAAGCAGTGGCTGCAGGAGATCGATCGCTATGCCAGTGAAAACGTCAACAAGTTGTTGGTAGGGAACAAATGTGACCTGACCACAAAGAAAGTAGTAGACTACACAACAGCAAAGGTACGTGTGAGGTTGGATTTTCAGCCTGCCCTTTATTCCGGGGGCGGGAGTCACACAGTGGCTAAGATGCCTCAACCTTTGAAAGCCAGTGACTCAGTTCGCCTTTCCCTCTTCAGAAAGCTCTTCTCCATGTTCATTGTTCTTATTGCTCTCTCAGGAATTTGCAGATTCCCTTGGAATTCCATTTTTGGAAACCAGTGCTAAGAATGCAACGAATGTAGAACAGTCTTTCATGACGATGGCAGCTGAGATTAAAAAGCGAATGGGTCCTGGAGCAACAGCTGGTGGTGCAGAGAAGTCCAATGTTAAGATCCAGAGCACTCCAGTCAAGCAGTCAGGTGGAGGCTGCTGCTAAACTTCGCCTCCGTCCTTCTCTCACAGCAATGAATTCGCAATCTGAACCCAAGTGAAAAAACAAATTGCCTGAATTGTACTGTATGTAGCTGCACTACAACAGATTCTTTCCATTTCCACAATGTCAGAGATTGTCAATGGTCAATACTGACTTTTTTTTTCTATTCCCTTGACTCAAGACAGCTAATTTCATTTTCAGAACTGTTTTTAAACCTTTGTGTGCTGGTTTATAAAATAATGTGTGTAATCCTTGTTGCTTTCCTGATACCAGATTGTTTCCCGTGGTTGGTTAGACTCTATTTTGTTTTGATGTTTATATTGGCATGTTTAGATGTTGGGTTTAGTCTTCTGAAGATGATGTGTGTGTGTGTGTGTGTATTGGCATGTTTAGATGTTGGGTTTAGTCTTCTGAAGATGAAGTTCAGCCATTTTGTATCAAACAGCACAACCAGTGTCTGTCAATTTCCATGCATAAAGTTTAGTGAAACGTTCTATGTAAGATCTGATTTGCTAGTTCTTCCTTGTAGAGTTATAAATGGAAAGATTACACTATCTGATTAATAGTTTCTTCATACTCTGCATATAATTTGTGGCTGCAGAATATTGTAATTTGTTGCACACTATGTAACAAAACTGAAGATATGTTTAATAAATATTGTACTTATTGGAAGTAATATCAAACTGTATGGTGATAAGTATTGTTTTAATTCTTATGGTTAAAGGGAAATAGAGGTTTGCATTATACTCAACAGCCATTTATGTGTGCAACAAGGGCACTGTAGACTATCTAAGAGCACAGCATCCAGTACTTGCTTTCTAGTAATAGACCTGCTCAGTGACCTAGAGAAGCTTCTGTGCTGTGTACACTGAACCAGCCTCATTGGTTCAAGGAGCTCAAACTGTATGGAACCAAGTTTAGAGTGTCTGCTTCTTCCTAGCACTTCATCTCCAGGCCTAGACTCAAGAGGCTTCCCAGGCAACGCTTTTTTCCGTACATCTGTGGTAGATGGAGAGCAACACATGCCTCCTCACAAGCAGTGAGCTGGTGATCCGTGCTGGTGCTTCCTCCATGCTCTGAGTCAGATGTCACCCACCCACCCCAACCCTGATTTGGGGATTCATTTTTGCTTTTTTGAGACAGGGTTTCTCTGTAGTCCTGGCTGTCCTGGAACTTGCTCTGTAGACCAGGCTGACCTCGAACTCAGGGATCCACCTGTCTCTGCCTCCAAGTGCTGGGATTAAAGGCGTGCACCACCATGCCTGGCTTTTTCTTTTTTTTTTTCTTTTTTCTTTTCTCTTTTTTTTTTTTTGAGACAGGGTCTCCCTTTGTAACCCTGGCTGGCCTGGAACTTAGTATGTGCAACAGGCTGGCCCCTCATAGAGATCCACCTGCCTTTTCCTCCCAAATGGTAGGATTAAAGGCATATACCACAATACCCAGATTGCACTGTTTTTTGAGACAGTGTTTCACGTAGCTCAAGAGGCCTCATTTCCACTTGTAACCAAGGATGGCCTTGAACTCCCGATCCTCCTGCCCCCACTTCCAGGTGTCAACTTTTTGTTCTTTCCAGTTGTATAACTCAAGTTGAAGGAGAGTTTAAGCATTAGAAAAGAAAGCAGGAAATGTTGATCGCCCTAACTGTAGAAATTATATCCCCCCAAATTAACTGAAAACATGAACTCTAGATGGGAATGATGAGAGAAATAATATATTTATTTCGGTGAAATTTTTGCATGTGTGAAAGTTTTGTTAACTAGGACCTTCGAGACCTAGACTTTGCTTTTGTCTTACTGTGGGAAACAAGGTCTCTTGCGGACATTAGCATTTAAGGTGGCAGAGGTCAGAGATTGTTTCTTGGTTTAAGCAGCAGCCAAACATTCTTCAATTGGGGGCTTAGGATGTGACTGCTGACAACACATTTTATTATGGGGTCTTTAATGATAAAATATTAAACTAAAAATAAGCCAAAAATTACAGGTTTCTTTATTTTTCACTAAACAGACGATTGAAATACATGGTACAAAAATAAGTGGTAAGATTATTGTAAAATGAAAATGGACAGAATAAATATTCAATTTAATTTTCCATCTATGAGAATTTCACAATAAAATCATAGTTTACTTTGTATTATAGATGTGCTTGTTGGGTCTATTCGTCCTTATATAAGATAAGGCAACTGGAAATTCCTGAGATCACCAGCAATTATGGGTCAATCATATATATATATATATATATATATATATATATATATGTATACACACACACACACACACACACACACACATTTTGTCACTGTTGGGGTTTTTTCCCTTGTCAATACAAAGGGAGAAAGAGTTCATAAACTTTTAGTTATTATAGATACAAAACAAAACTTTTAGTTATTATAGATACAAAAACAACATAAGACAAAGTGATGCCATGCACTTTAATTTTACAATAGCAAAAGTTGTTCAAACTGTCGGCTTATTCTTTATTAGCAGAAAACATTTATAATACAAACATATTTACAGACTTTGTAAAATTCTAGTGTTTTTCCACCACAGGCAGCAAGATTAGGGCTTACAACACCATTTCAACACACTTCACTATTTGCTTTTATGTATGTGCCAATAAATGCAGTCTTGGGGGGGACGGACGGACACATATCCTGTTTTTCAAGTATAAGCATTTCAAGACCATTGGGGGCTTTAATTTGTTGACATAATAAAGAAATATTACATTAAAAATAATAAGTGGCTACCACACAGTAACTTGCATAATATGAAGAACACTCTACTCTGTGGCCATGGCTGGAATCCTGAATGAACAGTAGTCACTGGGCTCACGCGAACTTGCTGTGCTTACTTGGGTAGACGTGCCCTCAAGCACATACTTGGCCATTCAGCATACCTTGCACCCCCACTCCTCTTTTGGGCTCCATTTAAGAACAGCCCTGTCTTTGAAGCCTCTTTGTTTTGTGCTGGAGGTTTGCTGTAGACCCCCAAGAACCCTGTGTTGAAATGCTACTTTATGTGAATGCAAATGAACTTTAAGGGACCATGTGTAAATCCTAACATGGTCATGTCAATCTACCCTGGCCACATTTGCACATGGAAATGATGGCATCATCCTACGCTGAGACAATTTCAGCTCAAAAGTTCTTAACACACAGCAGAAGATATAATTAACAATTGTGTTGATATTCCTAAGTGGCATTCACAGCCAAGGTTCGAGTTTGCACCTTTTAGTTACAAAAAAAGTATCTTTTTGTTACAAAGAGGGTGAACAAATGCATCGACCATCTTCAGGCAAGGTAGTGCTTTGTTGGGAAAGTGTATTCCAAAATGAACATGTCAGCTGAGCTGACTAATTACACTGACAAGAACAGGAGCATCTCGCGGCATCCAGCGGGCGCGCTCTGTTGTGTAGGTCCTGCCATCTTCAGGTTTCACGCTGACTGACTCAGGCCTGTCAAACGGGCTTACTTTCTGAGGGCTGCTCTAACACACTGATGAGAAGGCAACTTAAAGCCACATCAAATAGTGAGTGTACTGATTTTTAACCAATTCTCAATAGCTAGAAAAGCATTTCCTTTTGCCTTTTGAAAGCACACTATTCACCATGTACAACGCAGGAACTAAGCTTGACTCAGAGTGGCAGATCAGAACAGTTTAATTTGGGTCTTGCCCATGAACATTATGGTAAGCCATACTGTGTAGCAGGGCAGCAGGCATGTGAAAACACTGTACTTCATGTATGTATAGCTTACCAAGTAGTAATCCTTTTCTCATCCAATAGCCCTGGCCAGCCTGAAACTCTAATACAGACCGGGCTGGCCTCAAAAGATCCTTCCAAGGGCTAGGATTAAAGTCTGTACCACCATGTCTGTCTAAGGAGCTAATCTTTTAAAATCTTTTTGTTTTTGTTTTTAAGCTGAAAAACCCATCTTTGATACTTTGTGGAATTTGTGGTAACCAGCATATAATCACTCTGCTTCAAAAGTTGCAACTGATGCTTTGAACTACTGATCATGGATTTTTTTTTTTTTCCTGACAAGGCTAGAACTACCGGTTAACTACCAAGAAACAAAGACTTTCTCTTTTCTCATCAGCATAGGCTGCTTTAATTTCTGTAAGGACAGACAGTGGCTGTAGCCATCCCCGTCCTCTGACTAGTCTTCCAGGGGAAAGTGGAGCAGAGGACCGACCGAGTGCCCCGAGGTAAGCAAAAGCTTGACCGTTTGCTTCGTTCCCTTCCAGAAGCCGGACACAAGCCTCCAGCTCTCTGATGCATAAATAGTTAGGAAGAAGGTCGAGACTAACCACTGAAGATGGCCCCTGCTGACCTCATGTTGCCCAAAGGGCTCTGTAGCTAAGTGTTTCTCTGTGGCAGGTTAAAGGTTAACATGTCTGCTAGCCGAGAATCTTCAGAATTTACAAAATTCCAGTCTCCACGTGATGAAAAGATCCAAGGTTTTGATCACCCACTTCCTCACTCTTAGACCCATCCCCTTGTACACCTGAGAATTCATTCCAAGTACTTAGAACCTTTCTTGAGCAGCTTTCTGTAAATGGCCTCAACATGTTTTAACTGCTGTTTTTCTAAACAGAAGGGGGTACATGAGACCCGTAAATCCTAGTATTTTATCAACACTGTAAAGCCATGTATTTTTGGTAGAGAAGCACCAAAAGGAAAAGCCTTAGTTTGGAGGGATTCACTGTAATGAGAACAGTAACTCGAGAACCTTCAGAGATGGGGAAGGCATCTTAAAGCAAGTACGTTCAAGTTGAGTCTCTCCCCTGCCTTCACAGCTGAATGGCTCTTCTGAGCAGGAGTTTTTGAGTTTTCTTCCCAAGAGCCTACTTGGCTGATGACTCCATCTCCGCCTGGGATATGCCTGAAAGAGAAGGCAGCCAGGGTTACAGGCAGGCTGCCCAGGAAGAGGTCAACACCCATCATCTGCTTCCACTGCTCTGATGCAAATCCAGTCCCCATGTACTCCCATTGCTTTAAAGATGTCTTGGTACACAGCCCAGCTGGTTCTCTGAGTCCTCATGCATCAGCCTCCAAAGGGCCGAGATTACGAGTCTGCACCCCACCACGCCTGCTGGAGTCTCTGCTCTGGACATACTTCCAGCATATGCTCACTGAGACATCTTCACTGATAAACACTGGGTAAAAGGGAAAGGTCTAGAAAAAGTACAGTAGAACTGTGCGGTTCTGAAGAGCTAGAGATCCGAGCATAGGCACCAGGTGGCCCTCCTGTTCTCTTGGCCTCTTTCCTATTCATCCCCAGTCTGACTTTCTCAGAGGTGAGATGAAAGTTGTACTTAAGGAGTAGTAGTTGTCAACTCTCTGAGATGTGCCATCCCCAGTCTTTGGGGAAGGATGCGGTTGGTACGAGAGGTTTGCAAAGATCCTTTGTGGGAAGGGAGTGGGGTAGAAGGGGGTGGGGTAGAGAGCTGGCAGTTAACTGGATTTCTGTAGATGTTTGTGTTGTCAAAGAGGCTTGGAGCCGGTGAGATGAGCCCACAGGGCAGAGGCAATGTGATCAGCGCCCCCCACTGGAGAGGTGTACCTGCAGGGAACCGGCGCTGGTGAGGAGGGTCCCTGCTGCTGCTGTGGAGGGTGGAGCAGCGGTAAAGGGAACCCACAGAGGTGGGAAGGTGGGGTGCTCCTCAGCAAGCACGTGAACACAGTGGAACCACAGTGAGTTCCACCACAGGAAGTCCCACGTTCCTTCAGCACGAGTGCCCCCGCTGAGGAGGAAGTCCTTCCTAGGATAGATAGCCCTGTGTCCCAGTCAGCAGTGGTTGGACAGCGCTCCTTGAGTTTTCTACTTACCCAGTTACAGTCCTGCACGCGGGTCTTCTTTAGCTGCTGTTGGTCTGTTGTCAGGGATGAGGGTGCAGCCAGCCAACATGTCCAAAGAGGCTAAGATAGAGTCATAAAGGTGGTCTGCATGGCTCTCCAGCTCTCCAGACTGCTTTGCGATCCTCCCGAGGACATCCTTTAAAACTAATGGTCAAGTAATAAATAAAAAGGGGTAGCAGTTTGCTCAGACAGGACTGTAGTAGTTCACAGCGCCTCCTCCCCTACCCCAGCAGGCTGACCTCTAAGCTGCTTTCTAGCTGACTATGACCTGGAACTTGTGTGTTCCTCTACGTGTCTGTGAAGTTCTGGGGACTGAACCCAGGGGTTCATGCACGCTAGTCAAGCACTGTACCAACTGAGTCACATTCCCCGTCCGCCTTTCCTTTTAAACAGTGATGCTCCACGGGCTTAAGTAACATCCTGGGGAAGTCTCTAGATTTGGGGGTATAGGGACTCAGTGACCACACCTGGAGCAATGGTGTGAGACAGGCTAAATTCACTCCTGCATGGCAGAGTAGCATGGCAGCCCCTTCCTTTGTTAACAAACGCTGCCGGCTTCCTGAGCTCCATCAGCTGGGTTAAATGCTCCCTAGCTTCCTGCCCTAGGGCACCATCTGCCAGCGGAGGATAAGAAAGGGGAAGGAAGCCTTTGTTCTGTGCACAATGTGGACTGGATGGGCGGGAAGGGAAGGAACAACAGGCTGGGTGTGTTGAGGTCAGCCTTGGGAAGCACGTGAGGGCCAAGTGCTGTCCTGACAACTCTGGAGAGCTGAGGCCAGAGGACTGCTGTCAGGGCGGCCGAGCCAAGCTCTGTTCAGTCTTCTGTGAGCCACCAGTGGGATTCTAGGGGCCTTTTGTTTGAAACTTTAAACAGGTCATGGAAGAAAGGCTAGGAAGGGGAACGAGACCGGTATGTTTTCCTGGTGTGATTGTGTGTGTGTGTGTGTGTGTGTGTGTGTGTGTGTGTGTGTGTGTGTGTTGCTTTAGTTAATATGGGGACTCATTTGGCTTAATTCCCATGGGTTCCAGTCACATAATTCATAAGCAGTTTGAGTATAAGACAAGATGTCAGCCTATATTTATAGAACAGTCAAAATGCCTTCGGTGGGTGCTGGCATGGGGGCCTCTCGGTGTAGAGTAAAGCGGCAGTCACAGGCCTAAGGTTGTGTTTGTAGCCAAGTAAGAAAGCGGGCTCTGAAAAAGTGTGTGTGTGTGTGTGTGTGTGTGTGTGTGTGTGTGTGTGTGTGTGTGTGTGTGTGTTGACAGGATGCTGCTTCTGGGAGGAGGAAGTAGGAAGTGTCAAGAGGAACTTGAGACTCAAGAAAACAGCTAAGTGCTCCAATTAGTTACTCCAGGCAGAGACTTGGGAGGGGTTAGAGTACCAATTTGAAGGAGCCTGGACTCATGTCTGAGACTTAAATCCAGACGTCTGTGGCCAGTAAGACACCCTGAGTCTTTTCTCAGAGCAGGACAAAGTGGAGTGTTAATAGATTTCTTTCCGAGTGAAAGAACAGTCAGTTCAGGAGGACTTCCATAACCCGTGGCGCCTGTGAAGAGAAGGCCTGTACCGAGTTCTTCCTGCTCAGGCCCTGCATCTTCAGACCCATGTAAGTGTGTCTCTGGTGAAACACCAGCAGAGGCAGAAGCAGGAAAACACACTGCACCAAGTTCCTGCCCCAACAGAAAACTGAAAACTTGGGGCTGGTGAGATGGTTTAGGGAGTGGAGGATTTACCCCACAGTCCTGGAGACCCACGCCCAATCTTTAAAACCAGTGTAAGGGCAGGAGGGAACTAACGCCACAGTTCCCACCTTACCTGTACACCCCCCCCACACACACAAACCGTTCATATACACAGTAAAACAAACCCTTCAGGCTTAGCCACAAACCCCTAACGATCCTAGGTTAAGACAACACAGGAGGAGATTCACAATCGGCCTTCAGAGAAGCAGGGGAGGCAGAGGGCCACTGTGGAGATGTGAGGGCTTCTGTGCTACAAACATCTTGTGATACATGTGAACCCCTACAACAAAGAATTAGACAGCTCTCTCTGTGTGGCAGTGGCCCTGAGCCTGAAAAGCCTTGTTTTGTAGCCCTTCTCCAACAGGTCCATAGGGTCACCATGGTTGTTTATGCCCTTTGATCCCTGTGAATACCACCTCTCTCTGGAACTGGAGTAGAATGTGAGTTCTTCAAGCACCTACCTGTGTAGTACTACAGGACGTCAGTGGCTACTTGGGGGCCCATCGCTTCAAGGCTTTTGAAGACACAGATGGGCATCACTTCTGGCCTCAAGAGTTCAATCCTCCTGGAGTTCTCACATTTTGCTAACTTAGGAACCTATCCTGCAGATGGCTGAGTCTGGTCTGGAAGCGACTGCAGCCTGCCTTCCCCGTCAGTTTAATTCCTTTGGTTTGGTTTGGTTTGGTTTTTGAGACAGCGTTTCTCTGTGTGGCCCTGGCTGGCCTGGAACTCAGAGATCTGCCTGCCTCTGCCTCCCAAGTGCTGGGATTAAAAGTGTGCCACCACAGCCGGGCTTCAGTTCAATTCTTAAATTTTTTTTATTCTTTGTGAATTTCACAGAATGTATTCTGATCATATCCCCACTCATTCCCCTAATAAATTTAATTCTTTTAAACCTGTCTGTCCCTGAAAACAAACTGTTGACATCTTTTCCTCTTGTTTTTGTTTGACCCAGGAGCCCAGGCTGGTCTCCACCCTTTTGAGGCTGAGCAGTAACTGTCTACAGCTGCTGTGATCGATGCTCTGTTGACAGAAACCCTTCCCTAGAGCAGAACATCAAATAGAGGAACCTGCCAGGTCCACTGGAGCTCACTAGGAAATCTGAGGGCTCCCACTGACGACCCCAGCGACAACTACATTCTGATTCCTGGGCCCGTGAAATGGCTGGGTGGGTAAATCACTGTTGAGAAAACCGAGGACCTGGTTTTGAGAGAACCAGCTCTCAGATCTGATCTCTCCGTCTGTGCCTTGCACACACCTGAACTCACGCATGCACACTTAATCAGAACATCACCAGAGACGCCTTTCTTGGGGCTGGCACAACGGCTCAGAAGAGAAGAAAGTGCATGCTTGTGCATCCCTGACAATCTCACTGGATACTTGAAAGCCATGTAAAAAAGTTGAAAAAATGGGGGTACAGCAAGATGGCAGGCAGGCAGGCAGGCAGAGAGGGGAAGAATCCAGGGGAAGCATGCCTCTGCCCTTGTCTCAAAAACAAGGTGGAGGGGCCTCACACCCTACATAAAGAATACATCTTTTTCTTGTAGAGTTGGTGCCTAGTTTATGACAGGCTTACTTCTACGCCCCCGTAACTCTCCCACCGGCTCTGGAGGGTCTGGAGGGACAGTGATGTAAGGAACCAGCAGGTGTCCTCTGTGGGACTCCCTTAGGCACTGTGTGCATTCCTGTAACAGAAGAGCCAAGCTCTGGCTAAGTTTGAAACTTGAAGCATAAGGCTGGAGATCAGCTCAGTGGTAGCATCTGTTTTGCATCCTCGAGGCCCTGGATTTGATCTCTCAGCAGTGATTTCAAAGGGACAAACAGAAGACCAAAAGCAACACTCAAGGCTGGAGAGATGGTTAAGAACACTTACTGCTCTTGGAGAACACCAGGTTTGGCTTCTAACACCGACTTGGAAGCTCCCAATAATCTTTTAACTCCAACACTCTCTTCTGACCCCCACATGTTCTTGCATACATGTGGTACACAGACACACGCACTCGGGGACACACACACACACACACACACACAATTTAAAAACAAAACACCTCAAGCAAATCCAGACAGACATTCAGGGGTCAGTGATGAGGACCACATACAGCTCTTCCAGAGGACTTGAGTTCACTGCATTAGGCTGCTCCCATCCAGCCGTAGCACTAGGGATCTAATGTCCTGGCCTCCAAGAGCACCTGTACTCATATTCATTACCCTCACACAGATATACACATAGTTAAAAATGAAAATAAGTCTTTCTTTAAAAGGGCATTGCAGGCTGGGCAGTGGTGGCCCACGCCTTTAATCCCAGCACACGGGAGGCAGAGGCAGGCGGATCTCTGTGAGTTCGAGGCCAGCCTGGGCTATAGAGTGAGTTCCAGGAAAGGCACCAAAGCTACACAGAGAAACCCTGTCTCGAAAAAAAGAAACAAACAAACAAACAAGAAACCAAAACAAAACCCAAAAAGGGCATTGCATCGGTCATCTCAGCACTTGGGAGACAAGCTAGTTTTTAACAATGTAATTATGTGCACATGTGTGAATCCATGTGTGGGTATGTGCACGTGAGTCTAGAAGAGGACACTGGATGCCCTGGAGCTGGAGTCACAGTGCTCACAATAGCTAAGCTGTCAGCTCCTGGCTACTCCTTCCTCCCTTCCTCCCTCCCTTTCCCTTCCTTCCTTCTTTCTCTCTCTTTCCTTCCTTTTTCTTTTTTTCATTCATTCATTCATTCATTCGTTCATTCATAGATAGGGTCTCTCTATGCAGCCCATCCTGTCCTGGAACTATCAGATCAGGCTAGCCAGGAATTTAAGAGACAGCTCTACCTCCTAAATGCTGGGATTAGAGGCACATACCACTATGCCTGGCTCTTTATCTTTAATTTTATATTGACTAAATCAGACTTTTATGTTAAAATTCACTAGTAGGTGAATGGGTTGAATTCCTAAGGGCTGCTCTAACACACTCAGTGGAAAGGCATGTTCCAATTTACAGCCACAGACAGTGGACATGTGTATCACACTGGACCCATAGCTAAGTACATTATGTGTCAATCAACAACCAACCAAAGCTCTTGATTACCCACCTGGGGTGTTATCCGTCAGGCACTGAAGAAGAATCTCTCCCTTCTCCAGGACACTTTCTGTCAGGGACTGATGTTTGTCTATATCTTTCTTAAATTGCTTAAGACATCAGAAAAGAAAAAAGTTTCAATATTATTGCTTATAAAAGTCGTCTGAAATGAACACTCTACCTAGTACTTGACTTACTTCTCTGACATGGAAGACAGCCACGGTGCAGTCTGAATCCCCAGGAGACCAGTCTAGGGACAGCATCTTTGTCCATGGAAGATTATTCACCGACTGTGTTTTTCAGACGGTCTTGATTTAGTTCAGGCTGCTCTACAGAGTCCTCCCCCTTCCCGTCCCTAGTGCCGGGATCCTAACCCTGTACCATCGAGCCCAGCTCACACAGCCTTTTCTGCAGAAGGGGCTGGGGCAGGACTCCATATTCTGTACCCCACATCATGGTGTTCTCCAACTCAGAGGAGGGATCGACGCTTACATCGAACATGGCAGGTAGAAACCAGTTTGTCACTGCACTGGCCACGCAGAGCCGGGGCCCTTACCTTTATGTCCCTTCTCTGTGGACCTCTATAGCAACACTTTGGCACCAGGGAAGCTGATGTTTTACTAAAAACTCATCTCAAGCAGGTTTTCCCTCACAGCTACAAAACATTGTTGCTGATTTTTGTTTTTACTTTCTTAAGACATTCTTGGCTGTCCTAAATCACAATGTAAACTGGGCTGGCCACAACTCTGAGCTATGCATGCTTCTGTCTCCTGAGTGCTGAGATTAAAGGCCTGTGCCACCATGTCAACTGTAGCTAATCTTTAAAAAACCTTTCTTTAGCCAGCAAGAATTGTATAAAATGAAACCCATGACATGGGACAGATCTCACTGCTTAATACTTTGAGGGTGCTAATTTTACTCTTGGATTTGTTCTCCTGTCTTCAGTATTCCTTTGCCCCAAACTTTTTTATCCTCCTGTGCTCTAGGATTTAGATGTTGCCTCAAATCCACTGTGTTAAAATGAAATACAAGTACAGTTGATGATGAGTGAGGACAGGTACAGAGGGGGAGTGAGGACAGGTACAGAGATGGGGGAAGTGAGGACAGGTACAGAGGGGGGTGAGGACAGGTACAGAGAAGGGGTGAGGACAGGTACAGAGAAGGGGTGAGGACAGGTACAGAGAAGGGGTGAGGACAGGTACAGAGGGGGGAAGTGAGGACAGGTACAGAGAGGGGAGTGAGGACAGGTACAGAGGGGGGAGTGAGGACAGGTACAGAGAGGGTGAGGACAGGTACAGAGAGGGTGAGGACAGGTACAGAGAAGGGGTGAGGACAGGTACAGAGAAGGGGTGAGGACAGGTACAGAGGGGGGAAGTGAGGACAGGTACAGAGGCGGGGAGTGAGGACAGGTACAGAGAGGGAAGTGAGGACAGGTAGAGAGAGGGGTGAGGACAGATACAGAGGGGGTGAGGACAGGTACAGAGGGGGTGAGGACAGGTACAGAGAAGGGGTGAGGACAGGTACAGAGGGGGTGAGGACAGGTACAGAGGGGGTGAGGACAGGTACAGAGAGGGGGGTGAGGACAGGTAGAGAGAGGGGTGAGGACAGGTAAAAGAGAGGGTGGGGTTGGTTAAAATGAGAGCCCACATAAATCTGACCACTCAGTCTTGGTCTAAGCAAGAGCCAAGAGAGCTCAGCTCCTTCCTCAGTCCTGTCCCACTCCGAGGAAGGTGTGAACCTGCCATCTCACTGACATAGCTGTGTACACAAGAGGCCTAAGCCTGACTGACATGCATGAACAGCTCCTGGCTCAGGTCCTTGCTGGCCACAATGCACGATGCTTGCAGCTGGCTACTTAGTAGTCAGTCACGGAGGGTCAGGAGAGAGAAGTCTTATGCTTGTTCAGTCAGGCCAGGAAAGGCTATGAGGGAGTCAGAGCAGTTCCTCTCCGAGACTCCCTGAGGCAAGGGCTCCAGGCAAGCACAGACATACAGTGCTGAACAAGAGAATCTTTAGGTTCAGCCTCCCTCTCCTTCCTCAAGTTTCTCTCTATTTCTATGCTGTATCTAACAGGATTCCTGCCACGGCAGGACAGCTGGCCAGCCCAGGCTAGATTTAGTAGATTGCAAAGACAGAACACAAAGG